GGCAGGAGGGGTAAACACGGCTACGCTGGTGGGAGAACGTTCGTGCCGAGGCCTTTTAAGTATAAGTGAGTCGCTGAGCTGGCGTCAGCTTTGGGTTTTGGGGTTTTTTTAGTGTAGAAAGTTTAATGCTTCCTCAAAGCGAGCTGCAGCTAACCACCTACTGAACTGTGGGGCTGCGGAATTAAACAACTGAGATTTAGCTTTTCAGATGCCTCTTTGCGCCTTTGTTGTATCTGTTTACAGGAGGCGCCGCTAAAAGAAACCGGGAGGTGGGTACACACGTTTCCAGTAAGTTAGTGTCAGCGCCGGGCGCCCGCAGCTGCGCGAGAAATACTTGGTTGAGCAAGAGGATTGCAGGCTCTTGCCCAACAACCTGTGGTTCTTGTCTCTGTCTTAATTCCTCACGCCCTTTCCTCTTTTTGCCGCTTCATTTTAAGGCGAAGCATGCCTTTCTACAGCAATAAAAGGCAGTTCCACGATTCATCATAGCATCCTCTCTGTCACTAGTCTTAACTTTGCTGAAGAAAGAAAGAACTGACTGTTGCCACAGGAAGCAAAATAACACATGTTGTGGAATCACTGAGAAGAGCTGCTATAGGAGGTCACAAAATAAAGCCCCAGTTCTCAGAAGCATGCTTCACAAATATGGATCATGCTATGTGACTTACAGGCTTATCAGGCAAAAGTCTCTGAAGTTTCCTGTAAAGGTAGGTGGTAGCAGAGCAAATGTTTGTATCAGTAAATAATAATTTTATTTTGAAGGCATTTCAATGAGAATTTAAGTATCAGGGCATGCTGGTAGTTCTAGCATCTTTTAGGTTAATTTATGTATGTTTAGATGTATTTATTGAAAATGAAATCTAGAATGGCCCTAAGGATTTCTCTCTGCTTTTCAGTGGAGCTTGTGGAAGAGTAAGGGCAGTGTCTTAGGAGGAATCACGATAGATGCAGCTCAGTAGCTAGAGATTGTTTTTCCCCATGATGGATGGTAATTTTGACTGTAAAGTGGATCTTACACTGTCAGTTTTGCAGATTCTGTACAAGGCCATGCATGTTTTAGAACTGCGTGTTAATCACTATTGTAATGTAAAGTTACTGCTTCAGGATGAAATTAACATTACAAGTGCGTAAATGTGTATGTCTGTCTATTGGGATAGAACGATGTATTCATTTCCTAAGTTCCTAAATTACTTTCTTGAATTTAGCAGTTGCCTTTTCTAATTTTCTTTCTCTTTCACTTTTCAGTAATTAATTTCACTTGTATTTTCTCACTGTGGTAATATTGCAAATGGTTTTGGAATAAATGAGCAATAGAGATTGAACACTTCTACTCACCTCAGATTTCACTGAAGTTTGTTATTACTCTGAGTGTCATCATCTTCCTAATGGGTTTCAGAAAAGATACTTGCCTTTTAATAGATAAATATAAAGCAAAGATGGAAGGAAACAACTGCATTTGGCTACTTTTAACAAAACATACAAGTATGCATAACATTTGAGGAATATATTCATCTTCTTCCAGTGATTGCACTGGTAAATCTGAGTGGTAAATATGAGGGCTAATGGCATGCAATTAATGGTAATATGCTTATTTTGCTGTTTAACATATGCTTTATCTATCTTTATAGTATGTAGATAGAACTGGAGAACTCAAACTATGCCAGTGGCCATCTCATACTGTCACTTAATTGAAGAGACACTGTCAAATAAGAGTCTCTAATTTACAGCAGTTATTACATGTTAACCAAGTGTATGTCTGGTTCTGTAATCATTAGAGTAATAGGTAGATTATATTCAAGCAGTTAAACCGTTATATTCCCAAACAGGAATGAATGTTTGGTAAAAGCAATGTCTTGCCTTGGGATTTTATCTCATCCTAAGGATGGATAGCAAAATCTTTCCAGCTAAGAGCAGACAACGGTGAGGTTTTTATGTAACAACATTATAAGGTGTCATTTGGAAACTAGCTGTGAATGCTATTGTCTGTATTGACAGAAATGGAGAAAGAATCATAGAGTACCACCATAAGGCTCATCAACATAACAGCAGAGAACACGAATTGTCCATATTCTGTCACTTACTACCTGTCCTATCTTTCCCTTTGGTTTTTGGATGACCTCTTTTCACTTGAAGCTGAGAAATGAAATATGATTTACAGAATAAGCTTTAAAGTGAAAAAGTCATTTTTAAGATTATTTCCTCTTCTTCCAGAATAATTGAAATGTTAAATCATGAATGTTTTACGGTATGCTAACCCGGAAAGGTAGTTTGTAGTGTGACAGTTCTGTATTTAGATCTCAGCTAAGATTGAATTTCTGACCAACATTACACAGAAATAAAGAGAGTCTGGTTTATGTCTTTGCCAGGACAGCAACCCAAGTGTTTGGGCATTCAGTATGGAAGTTGCTGTTCTGTTTTAATTAAAAAAAAAAAAAAGACCCCACCCACTGTTTCCATGTCCAGTATTTAATCCAATCACAACACTGCTGGAGCAGGAGGGAGAGATTATTTTTCCATTCCCATTAAATGGAAATTAAAATAAGACAAACAGCACTTTTATAAACCAGCCATGATAAGAATTTGACAACTAAATTGGTAGAGCGAAATGGAAAAAAAAAAATGCATATAGACTTAGACCATTATTAAGTTCAGAGAGGAAGATGTTTGAATTTCAGTGTAAAACTTGCTCAAAAGAAGTACTTATTTTCATATTAATTTGATGAAGACAGAAAGTTGTTAAAAAGATTTGTTTTCCCTGCTTAATCTATTGTAAAGCATGAAAACACGTAGTTCAATAATAATTAAATAATGGGGAAATTACAGTAATGTTGTATGTGGAAAATACATCTGGAGGAAAGCAAATGCCGTTTCATAAGCTGTCAGTAGATGGCACAAACATTTATATAAAAAGTTTGGGCATTCTTAAGTATTGTTACACAGTAGGATAAAGTTTTCTTTTTGTCTTTTCCTGACTACATTTTCTGCTTTTTCAGAGAGCATGGATTTCTGGTGAGAGACACTTAATTTTATAGATTTTATGTGGTTGCTTGTTAGCTAAAACTTTTATATTCTGCATCTTATGTGAAAATGCACCATGTTTTCTATAGAACATTATTAGCAAGTGTATGATGTACTTTCAAGCGTATGGGTAAGAAGTGAGACTAAAGTTGCTTATGTTCAGTAGATTTATCCAAAGAAACTGGCTAAATAGCAGTCTCTTCGTATTAGCACGACACCCGTAGTTAAGGGGGTCACAGTGATTTAATGGAAGTAGTTTTTCTACAGTTCAGGAGTGGATCTAACTTGATGATATGTTTCATCCATGTGAAAGACGTATTTTTAACATTTGAGTTTTGTATTATGCTGACAACTTGCAAAGCGCGTGCCTTAATACTGAACCATCAGAGCTCAATGCATTCTGTACATTTCTTATATGAAAGTTTAGTCAGTTTATACTGAGTTTATATTGGAAAAACTCTTAAAACCTCAATTTTTATCTCTTCTCTCACTCTTTAAACAACAGGACAATTTCTTGCTATGATCTTGGTTTGCTTACCCTACTGGATTCCTTCTCTGCTTTTATCTTGGTAATGATCTTTTTGTCAAGTTTGAAGACTTGAGGATACTTTCAAATTAAAAGGGATATGACTGTAAAGGATAACTTCCCCAGTGTTAGCCCCCAAATCATGGGTCGTGTGTTATAACAGTTGTTAATTTTGTTGCTTCATAGGATATTCTAAAGAAAGTTTGAAGGTACTCGTAAATAATTTGACTGAATGCCAGGACGTAGGAAGGAGAAAGAAAATTAAGCACATGTGGAAGAATTGTATCCTTCTTTCACCTAGTCCCTGGATATTGATGAAATTTTGTCCTAAGAAGAAATAACGACTTGAAGGTAGATTTTTTTCAGATTTGTCTTGAAGGTACATGTTTTGTTTGATTATATACACATTAGTAGTATTGCCCAAACAATCGGAAGAACAGGATAGAGGATGCTGATTATCTTTTGTTCTCTGCACATGACCAAATGCCTTTTGAGGGCTGTGATGGTAAAACTGCATAATTTTTCCAAATGAAAGTCTTGAAAAAGGCTGGAAAAGTTTTGCCATATTGCCCCATTATTTCTGGATGATTTCCAAGCCTAGTTTCATGCATTCTTTACAAAAGGAGAACTCAGTGGACTGTTTTTTGTTGTACTGTTGAGATTTCATAATATAGGTTATGTTAGATTAAGAGAATGTATGTTTTAGACACAGTAATATAATTCTAAGAAAGCGTGTGGAATGGTTAATGGTACAGAGAATGTAGTCCTCAAGGTTGTAGCTTTAGTCCAACAAGTGACAGCTATTACTGTCTCATTGTAGAGTCACCAGGAATCATTGTAGAGGCACTAGAAATATAAACTTACAGTTCAGCCATTTCAATATCAAGGGAAAGTTGAAAGCCACTGCAGTCATGAATAAGCACTATGGAAAGCTTCAGACAACAACTACGATTTAAAAGTAACGGGAGGAAGAGGGGAAGAATGTTCTGAGGAAACAAGAAGAATTCAGAAATCTGGAAAACAACTTTAAATCAAGATTTACACATATAAAAATGTTCAGTGTGTGTTTGGCGTCCTCTGTGTACACCTAACAAATCAGACATGGGGACACCCCACTTTCAGAGTCTAAGTTCAGGAGATGCTCAAGCCCAGACAAGAAGCAAACTCTTCTGTGGACTTTCCCATAGCATAAATATAGAACATCCTATCCCCCTTCCCGGCCTCCCCAGTTAAAATAAGCCCTAATGACCAATCTCAGCTACCTAAAGACATTCAGATTTTGATTCACTCTCTTGAACCTCCATCCTGTGTTTCAGTCCAGGTTTTATAGTCACAAGTCCATTTAAAAAAATGTATCTGAGTCTAGTTCATATCCTTCAAGAGAGAATCTGAGGAGAGGATGACCATACTGACCTCAAATATTGTGCTTTCTGATCAAAGTGTATTATACAGTTGTGGGAAGCCTTCATAATACATTGAATCACAGCAGTAATTCTGTAAGTAAGCAGCAAATTCTAGTCACCTATGAAATAAAACTTGTTTTGTAAGAAACAGACCCATTATATATTAAGTACAGCATATTTACCAAATAGAAATTTCAGTGGTGTTCGAGTGCCTCTCCTGAATGATAATAGGTGCCTTCGTTGCTTTTTGAGTCAAAGAGAGAGATGAGAAATTGGAACCTTAAAAAGATCAATCTCTGTGATGGCTCCTGCATAGCCACTTAATGACATGATCTGGGTTTTGTTTTTGTTTCTTTATTTTGCTACAGGATTAGAACAAAGATGGACAGATAAGAGAAGTATTGAGCATCTCCAAGGAAACAGAAACCAGTATGACAGAACATATGAGATCTCTCAGAAATTTTTTTCTTTACAAGTGTCTGTTTGCATTAACTTTTTGGAACTGTGTCAGCCTGTCTGTGGAAAAAGAACTCTTCACATCTGTTTCTAACGAAGATGGTTCTGACAAAAAAATCAAGAGCCTGCCATACCTCTATACAAATAGTCATCAGTCCAAAGCTAATTTTGACTGGGTTTTGATACAAAATACTACAGAAAGCCTATCGTTGTCAGAAATCACAAATGACAATGTAAAAAAATTAGTAGCATTATTATCTAATTTCAGACGAGGCTCCAGGTTACAAAATCTGACACTGACAAATGTGACAGTTGACTGGAATGCTCTTATTGAAACTTTTCAGGCTGTATGGCACTCATCCATTGAATACTTCAATGTTAACGGTGTAAGACAATTGTCACACATAAAAAGCTATGACTTTGACTATTCAGGTACGTCTATGAAAGCGGTCACACTGAAGAAAGTTTTAATCACAGATCTGTACTTCTCACAGAATGACCTATACAAAATATTTGCAGACATGAATATTGCAGCCTTGACAATAACTGAATCAGAGATGATACATATGCTGTGTCCTTCGTCTGACAGTCCCTTTAGATACTTAAATTTTTTAAACAACGATTTAACAGATCTGCTGTTTCAAAACTGTGACAAATTAATTCAACTGGAGACATTAATCTTGCAGAGGAATAAATTTGAGAGCCTTTCCAAGGTAAGCTTCATGACTAGCCGTATGAAATCACTGAAATACCTGGACATCAGCAGCAACTTGCTGAGTCACGATGGAGCTGATGTGCAATGCCAGTGGGCTGAGTCTCTGACAGAGTTGGACCTGTCCTCAAATCAGTTGATGGATGCCGTGTTTGAGTGCTTGCCAGTCAACATCAAAAAACTCAACCTCCAAAACAATCACATCACCAGTGTCCCCAAGGGAATGGCTGAGCTGAAATCCTTGAAAGAGCTGAACCTGGCATCGAACAGGCTGGCTGACCTGCCGGGGTGCAGTGGCTTTATGTTGCTGGAGTTCCTGAACGTAGAGATGAATTTGATCCTCACCCCATCTGCCAACTTCTTCCAGAGCTGCCCACAGGTCAGGGAGCTACAAGCCGGGCGCAACCCGTTTGAGTGTTCCTGTGAACTGCAAGACTTTATCCGTCTGGAGAGGCAGTCTGGGGGGAAGCTGTTTGGCTGGCCAGCGGCGTATGTGTGCGAGTACCCGGAAGACTTGCAAGGAACGCAGCTGAAGGACTTCCACCTGACTGAACTGGCTTGCAACACGGTGCTCTTGCTGGTGACAGCTCTGCTGCTGACGCTGGTGCTGGTGGCTGTCGTGGCCTTTCTGTGCATCTACTTGGATGTGCCGTGGTACGTGCGGATGACGTGGCAGTGGACGCAGACAAAGCGGAGGGCTTGGCACAGCCACCCCGAAGAACGGGAGACCGTTCTGCAGTTTCACGCGTTCATTTCCTACAGCGAGCGCGATTCGTTGTGGGTGAAGAACGAGCTGATCCCGAACCTGGAGAAGGGGGAGGGCTGTGTACAACTGTGCCAGCACGAGAGGAACTTTATCCCCGGCAAGAGCATTGTGGAGAACATCATTAACTGCATTGAGAAGAGCTACAAGTCGATCTTTGTGTTGTCTCCCAACTTTGTGCAGAGCGAGTGGTGTCACTATGAGCTGTACTTTGCCCATCACAAATTATTCAGCGAGAATTCCAACAGCTTAATCCTCATTTTACTGGAGCCGATCCCTCCGTACATTATCCCTGCCAGGTATCACAAGCTGAAGGCTCTCATGGCAAAGCGAACCTACCTGGAGTGGCCAAAGGAGAGGAGCAAGCATCCCCTTTTCTGGGCTAACCTGAGGGCAGCTATTAGCATTAACCTGCTAATGGCTGATGGAAAGTGGTGTGGGGAAACAGATGAAGAATCTTTCTAATGGAGTTTCTTCCATTTTTTCTTTGTGAAGCAATAAATGCTTTATGATCTCCATTGGTTGTCAATGTATTTAACTTTTTGTTACAGAACCTTGTTTCTACATAGTTTTCTGTGCTGCCTCCTAACGGTAGGCAAAATTCAAGTTACCTCACTGGAATTCTCTTGCAGTTGATACAGAGATAGCAAATGACAAATGAGTTTGGATGTGCATTTTGAAATACAGTTTGAAATACCGTAGTGAATTTTTCTCAGCAGAATAAAGCCTGGAGCAGTTGGTACAGTCATGGAAGAGTGCTTGAGTTGCTGAAGAGGTTGCAGAGCTGCATTAATCACAAAGCTTAGGCAGCTTCATCACAGGACCCCTTTTGCTAAAATTAGTTTGCAAGAAAAAAAATAACACATCCTGAGAAGATGTCTAGAAGGCCAGAGTCTGAGGTGGTTCCTGGGTAGTGTTTTCTCAGATTCAGTGAAGCTTGAAAGGATAGGACCCAGATACAGGACTCTGAACGTCCAGCACAGGTGGACAAAAATGGCCATGCCACAAAAGAGGACTGAGTGAGGGTTTTTTTCTTGAAAAGAAAAATAAAAAGGAAAGATGAGCCGCTTCACGTTTTGGGGCTCGTAGGTTGGTACTGCTGCGAGGGAGGAGCAGTGAATTGACAGTCAGGGCTCTTAATTCCCATCCTCTGATAGAGTCCTGGTACCCTTTTGATCCTGAGAGATACCCTGAGCAAAGGGACTGAGAGGGTATCATCTGCAGTAACAGAACTACCTTCATCATCATTGACTATATCTTGAGAAGCTCTTGACTTTACATTATGCTTTTTTTTTAGCTTTCTACTTTTTTGCTTCTCACCCATATATCTTTACGCTTATTATTAAAAGAATCTGTCCTTTTCAGGCAAAACAGTATCTTTTGCAGCACAGCGACGAGTTCTGATCAGAAACGCAATAACCAGTCAGAGGCTGAAAAAATTTGCCAGGTCTTGGGACAGCAGATAAGACCCTCTATTCACAGAGTCAGAAAGACAAGCTACATTTACAATATTTGCTCTCCTTTGTAGAAATACAGCAGGCCCCTCTACCTGTTGTCGGGGTTAACCCCAGCCAAACAACTAAGCACCATGCAGCTGCTCACTCACTTCCCCCCACTCAGTGGGATGGGGGAGAGAATCAGAAAAAAAAGTAAAACTTGTGGGTTGAGATAAGAACAGTTTAACAGAACAGAAAGGAAGAAACTAATGATAATAATAACAATAATAAAATGACAATAATATAATAATAATAAAAAGATTGGAATATACAAAACAAGTGATGCACAATGCAATTGCTCACCACTCGCTGACCGATGCCCAGTTAGTCCCTGAGCAGCAATACCCCCCAGCCCCACTTCCCCCATTTTATATACTGGGCATGATGTCACATGGTATGGAATACCCCTTTGGCCAGTTTGGGTCAGCTGTCCTGGCTGGGTCCCTTCCCAACTTCTTGTGCCCCTCCAGCCTTCTTGCTGGCTGAGCATGACAAGCTGAAAAATACTTGACTTGGTCTAAACATTACTTAGCAACAACTGAAATCATCAGTGTGTTATCAACATTCTTCTCATACTGAATCCAAGATATAACACTATACCGGCTACTAGAAAGCAAATTAACTCTCTCCCAGCTGAAACCAGGACACTGTAGTGGTGTGGTTTGGCTTCAAGAAAACATGGCTGTGCTCTGACAAATATTCACAATTGCTGAAGATGATGACAGCAAATTTCGTCTTTGTCTCCAGAAGGGGAGGTGTTTGCCATCTGGAATACCAGACTTAGATGACCAGAGAGTAGTAAGTTTTCCTTTCAAAAATGTGTTTCAACGGGAATACAACAGAAGAAGGGATGTTAAGATGAAATCCTCATTTAGTATAGCATTTTATCTCATTCTTGTCTTCCATTATTATTAACAAAATATATTAATTTTGATTTTTTTTGCCTGAGGTCTAAGGAGGCTGAGGTCTCTTGAAGTCTTGAACTGCCAGCAACTGTTTATGATTTGTAGGGGAAAGGTCAAATTTAACACCTTTAGCCCTGTCATCCCACTCAGCCTCGAAATTAATATAACACACCTATTATAAAATTGCAGGCATTTAATTCAGGACAGCAGAAACAAATATTTTCTATGCTTCCTCCTTCCCCTCCAACTAATGCTTCAGTGTATGAGTAATTTAACCCGTAGAAAACTGAAGATGAACAGACTTAGCTTGGTTTGCCTATCCCTTTCACACAACCAGGGGCAGCTGGATTGTTACATGGTGGCTCACGTGAAAATTTTCTTTGAAAGCCTCAGAGTTTTAGGTCAGTAGCCCTTGAAACTTCAGTAATAGAGTTAACATCCCCTGTTGTGTGTGAAGCTTTAAGAACTCGTATTGCTGCTTCTGTTGGCAGGAGGACAGAAAAACCCTCTGAAAGTCAGAGAGTGCACCAAGAATCCTTCCTGTTATTCACGTGGGAGCACATAGCTGTTACCAGAAATTATTTCTTTCTTTCAGGAGTGGAAGGTTTTAGCAAGGGTTTGCTTGCCACTTTGGAAAGAACTTGGGAACTACGTGACCTCTGGCAATGGAGCTGATGCGATCATAAGCAGAAATATGTAACTGCAGGTTTCTGGTATATGTCCAAAATCCTTGAGTGAATAATGTTGGAAGGGGCTTGTAATGAGCATGGGGAGCAATTAAAACTTGTGCTTTGGAACCTGAAACACACATGCTATTAGGTTTTTGTCCATGGTATGTGCCAGATAATTGATAAAACAGCTACACATGCAATGAATTACTACATCTAGTTTTTCTGATTCCACAGGAGAGAATGAGTTTCTCAGGTGATACATATCAGAATATTTCAAACAATTATTTTAGCCTCTGCCATACTCTGAACACTTTCTATAAAACCAGTTTTAGTCCAAGAAGAAATTGCCCATACGTGGGGCCATGTGTAGTCTCACAGCCCATGTCAGCCACTTTTTCTGCACATTTTGGAAAGCAGCTACCCTTTTCTGCGCACCCCGGTGATGTGAGTCTGCAGCTGGTTCTGCACTGCAATTGGTAACTGCTAATGCACTCCAGTTATCAGGAAAATGAGTGTGTAAATGTATTCTGATGTCAGATACCATATCAGAGCAGATTCCTGGCATCTGTCTAGTCATCTTGGTGACTAGCAGGAATGCTATTTTTACATATATAGTAATATCAACTTACAAAACTGATAACATGGGGGTTATACACCCTCCAAAACCTAGAAAAAGTGCAGAATGAAGTGAAAGTGTAAATGTTTTTATGTATATTTAAGTAGTGTGTAGTATGAAGGAAACTGAACTGTGACAGACTGGGAGTCCTGACACAATCTGGGTTGCCCTGCTGAGAGCTCGGCTCTTTTTCAGCTTTAGAAATGTTACAAAGCATCATCACTGAAGTTCAGCTGCAGAGGGTTAGAGCAGAGAAAGGCGCTCAAGGGAAAAGAATGGGACTCCGTGGGAGGTGAGGCATTCTGCTGAGGGGAGGGTTCAAAACCTCTGTGAAACCTGTGGTTTTACTCAGGGCTTCAGTTTGGCTGTTTTTTCTTTCAGAAACATTTACTGAGATTGACTGTAATGCTCATTTGTAGTCACTGTTTGGTCAAGAGGAAGCAGTACTGATAAACCAATAAATGAGGAAGTTCTGTGTTCTGCAAGGTGACTCTGTGTTACCAGTCTGATTTCCACAGCTTTGATCCTTGTGTCTGTTTATGCCCAAGCAAAATAGGCTTGGGCATAAATGCAGTACAGTCTCTGCTCACTTTGACTTGTGGCGGCATTTAGCCCTTGTTTCACCTACCTGACACACAGGGTTAAGTTGTGACAATGAGAGTTACAGTTGAAGGTAAGGTCCTCGATATGACCAAACACTGGCAGTTCCAGTTGGAGAGATTCTTCACACCTTTGGGCACGGTGCTGGTCCTGACTGGCTTCTCATACCCAGCCAAGCGTAGCTACGGTTCCCCTCTGGGTAAGTAATCACAATATATAGGCAGAAGTGTGAAATGTACCTTGAGGAAAGGCTGTTTGTGAAGACAGGTGCTCATTGATAGAATCAGCTGCAAAAAACCCCAACAATATAAACCTCAGCAATGGAACAAGGTATGTGCATGAGTGTATGTACGCTGACTATGGAAAGGATGGTATTCAGAGGGTACATTTCAGGATGCATGAACAGAAATACACTGATTTTTAGTTTTTGCCTATCATGCGAAATGACTTAATCAGTAAACCGAAACCAGCCCCAAACAAAGCTTTGCTGAATTGGTTAGTAAAAATAACATTATGCAATGTTCCTAATTGTTTAACAGAGGTATTCAGGAGTATCAGTTTTATTTTAACTAGTTGTAAATTTTTCTTTATGGCAAACTTTATTTGAATGTATATTAAAGTCTGATAAAGAAGGGCAGTAAGGAAATTAAACATACTACAACTAAAGGCTTAGATACTTTTGCTTTTTACAGCTGTGTGTGCACTGGAGTCAATTCTGATGAAAGCTGACGGTGTATTTGTTTTTGTCCATGCAGCAAAGTTTTTTCATGGATTATATTGGAAGTAAAACTGCCACTGGTTTGCATAATTGGGATATTATTGTTCTGTCAACAATAGTGCCTTAGTCTATTCATTTTCATAGATTAATGCCCAGCAATGGGAACTTCCTCTTTAACTCGAAGACAAGACAGTATCAGCTGACAGGCAGAGTCTTGCTGCTTATTGAGAAACATTCATGATCCCTGGTCTTGTCTTGGGTCACGAATGTCTCCGAGTTTTCTGTAATGTATTATTCAGATTCACTGCACTTAGGAAAGCAGAATGGTTTCAGTTCAGTTTCAGTTCAGACTATTTTACTCATCAATCTAAAAATGAAAACTAGACATTTTCTTTCAGCAAAGCAAAGGGTTAAATTACTCTTTGCAAAATTGAAAAGGTAATTGCAAAAGAAAAGTTTCAAAGGAATCTAATGCAAGCTTGAAATATAACTGGCACTGGTGTCTAGAATAAATTTTCATACTTTGCAGCTTCTTTAGCTGAATCCTCTCTTGCCTTCAACTCTCCTCCAAGGCGCTGTTTTATGGGGTGGAGTAAGCTCTAGACTGAGTCCAGAATGGGCCCAGGTGCCCCCCTCTTCCCCTAGTTTGCTCATACCTGAAGAATTAATTACATACTTCATGAATTTAATCTTAAAATTCATTAAGATTAAATAAATCTTCATT